TATCATTTTTGTTTGACTTGACCTGAAACTTGATTTTTGAGGAAGTCACACTGATAAAGAAGTTCTGAAATAACGACATTGTTCACAAAACAGTGAACTAAGATCACAGCGAAATAAACCCATTAGCCCACAGGATTGGATTATCTTGTCATGACACTAATATTTAATTTCAGTTTGGATATTAAGGAATACACTCGATACTCAAAACTGATTCCGATACCACGATGATAACAAAAAAAACACTATATAAAATGTCATTTTCAACATGAACTGTCAGTACTTGATACATCATGAATTTTGAACTTCCGTCATTGCGCAATTCATACTGGGATGGATTTTCTGAAAAAGTGAGCATCAAATCACCATGTTTGTTTTCCCAGTGGGATGTGTCTATTGACAAAACCAGTCTTTTCTAGACTTTTGAACCATATCCCTTTTGTTTCTGGTTCTGATATTGTCATATTTTAGTTTTGGGATTAGGACCTTGTAATTGTGTTGTTGTTGGATCCTAACAGTGGGAAATGACTTGAGAAATTTGTTTGTGAACTCCATAACTGCTGCAAAGGGAATCAGATGTGTGTGACTGCAAACCTCCATTCAAACTGTTTCCCTTCCCGCCGAAATTGAAAAATTGTGAAAGGTGAAGGTGATGGACAGTACTGATCCACAGGAAAGATGAAAAAGAAAACCTCTCACTGCCTAAATCATCTTGAGTTTGCAGTGACCATTTTGTATGTGGAGCACCATCAAAGCGGGACCCGTTTGTTAAGCGAGAGGTGCAGAAGACAAACAGACTGAGCTCTCACTTTCTATTTCTTATTGTTTTACAGTAACATCATGGTCTTCTTGGTCACTTTGTAGTGGAAGGTGTTTCTTGGTGAACAGCTGGTGCCTTTCACTTTTGCGTTGACTTTTTAAATTCGTAACCAAGGTGGAGTGACAGATTGGGATTTTGCTTTGATGACGCTTCACATACAAAATGTTCGCTGCAAACTCAGGATGATTTAGGCAGTCAAAGGTTTCCTTTTTCGTCCATCCTGTGGATCAATACTGCCCATCGCCTTCGCCTTTCACTATTTTTCAATTCCGTCGGGAAGGGAAACAGTTTGAACAGAGGTTTGCAGTCACACAAATCTGATTCCCTTTTGCGGTTATGGAGTTCGCAAACAAATTTCTTGAGCCATTTTCCGCAGTCAGGACATGTAACAATCACACAATTACGATGTCCGAGTCCCAAAACTAAAATATGATGATATCAGAACCAGAAACAAAAGTGATATGGTTGAAAAGACTCGAAAAGACTGGCTTTGTCAATAGACGCATCCCACTGGAAAAACAAACATGGTGGTTTGATCCTCACTTTTTTGGAAAATCCTTCCCAGTATGAATTGCGCAATGACTGGACGTCTGAAATTCATGATGCATCTATTCCCATGTGGTCTCATATCTGTGTAATCCCTCGAATGCCCACCTCATACAGTGATGAGAGACAATGAAAATTACGAGATGCCTGCTCAGACGTCGCCCAGACAAACAAGGTTGGTGTCAGGTGCTGGGGAACGAGAGCACCTTGATGAAAAATGGGCTACTGGTACACGGAGGAAATGGGCAAGATGTGAGAACAAGGCACTGTTGGAATGCTACTCCTGCAGTAACCCGAGTCAGAGGAGTTACATGAATAGGATGTGGGAGAAATGGTTACTACGATACCCACAGTCCAAGCTGACAGCCAAACAACTAGTAGCTCAGTGTTCCAACATCCACAAATGGCAATTGCTATCACAACTAGAGATGGAACCAGGACACCAGGTCAGTGAAGTTCCGCAACATTGTTTATTACGTGATCACCGAAGGGTTGACCAGGTTTTGTATTCACCCTGTGTGTCTGTGTGTCTGTCCACCCGCAATAATTCCACCATTTATGGACCGATTGTCACCAAATTTGGTACGTGGATCAAGCCCCCGTGCCCAATGCCGCAAAAAAGTTTGGTGATGATCTGAGGTCATTTGAGGTCACATGGGTCAATTGAAAGGTCACACCATTATAAAGGACAGGCAATTTCGCCAATTTCTGAACCATCTGCGGCCTAAAATATTCACCCAATCATCACACAAGTTGGCACACACATAACACTGTGTACACTGGATGTTACAGGTTGAAACCGGTCCAGGTCACTTGAAGGTCAAGGTAACTAAGGTCAAATATGTGTTTTTGGTCATAACTCCATGAAGGATGGAGCTAGAGCAACAGGAGTGCTCTCAAAATCTCAGAAAAAATTATTATGTATTTATAATTCTATGCATTTGTATAGTCAAATATGAATAGTTTTCTAGATAATCACTAATTATAACAATTTCTTTCTCTTCCAGTGTAGTCGTTAAAATTCTAATTGGAACGAAAATAATTTCCATTTCTTGTTTTTCTGGTGATACACAACACACTGATCTACAGTCACACAACTAACATATACACACAACTCATGAAAAAATGACATTTTGGTTACACACTAGTAAACACAGACAGACAGACAGTTTTTCTAAGTCTAAGTCTAAATGTATTCAAGTCATTTTAGGGTCCTTTTACTAAACTGGAATTTCTTGAGTAAGCTATAGTAAACATACAATAGCTTATTCTCTAAAGTCACACAAATGGGTCTCATCCAACTTTTCTTTCTGAGCTGAAGAAAAGGCTCCAGAGGCAGAGGACGTGCTGAGAATTTCAATGGTTTTGTGACCGGTCCAAAGAGTCCAGAGTCAAACCCAGACACTGTACTACTAGAATATGTAAACAGTCCACTTTTTAAACAGGCTGTGGTCAGACCTGAGTACTGCACAAGGATTTACATGAGAAAAATCACTTTTATTCACCGTTTTGACTGCTTTTATGTGTGTTTAGTTTCAATTCAAATGCCCATGACAAGTTGGACTACTCATTTTACTAAAACACTATTAAGATTGTTATTTTTAAAGTTCCATTTTGTAACTTTTCTAGTGGAGGGTCCGTCATCACAGTCAGAATGCCTGTTTTTTGTTTTGTTTTTTTAGATATTTTTGAGCTATAAAACCACCTCTAACTGAATAAATGTAAAGTAGAGCTGTTTAATGTCACACTGTGGAACATTACAGGCAGAGCAATGACATATCCATAGAAACAAGCAGGTGACAGGCGCCCAACCCAAAAGTTACACAGTCCACCTTTAAGATTTTACTAAAAATATTGTAAAAACTCCCCACTTTGGTAGTTTGTTAGGGAATTCCATCATGGTTACCTAGCAACCATGTAGTACACTGGGCCAAAACTCCTCTAACGTACACAGTATAGAACGGAATGTTATTTAGCATAAAACACCTTTACTTTTTTAAAATAATTGTTTAAGTAAAAAATCTTGTGTAAATTGTGTTTTACTTTTGGACAGAATTCTCAGTCAGAACTCTGCACTTCCTGTACTTTTCAGCATTTTTTTTGTTACAAACTGCCTCTTGAATTGTGTAAAAGTATAATTTATATTTACAACAGGTATTATTCCATGAGATTATGTCAAAAGTTGAGACTCTTCAAAACCTTCTAATGTCATACACACTATAAATGTGTGTATGTGCTGTTACACTTCTCTGGTAGAGCATTTGCTTGTGGAGTGATGCTGTTGCTTTTCACAGAATGTTCCACAGTTAAGCTTATCTGCTATCACCATGGAGACAAGCTCAGGTGGAGAGGAGACCCAGGTCACAGTAAGAATTCATCATTTAAAGACTATTTATGTCAATTAAACACCTGTTATTAGATGCAGTAGATGAGTTTAATGCCATACTGTGGAACATCTAAGCAAACATTCCACCCGAAAAGTTACAGCGTGCTCCTTTAAGAAAAAATCATCTGTGCATGAAGTAAGATTTAAAGATCTTATATTACGCAAAACTGACTCTTGTGACCTTTAAGCCGTGTTAGAATGTTGAATGTGTTTTGTTTCATTCACACGTTTGAGTTACTGTTGTAATACTCAAGACCGTTTCCAGCTTAGTCTTGGTCTTGGTCTCGTCTCAGACTCAAGGGCATTTGGACTCAGTCTTGTCTTGGTCTTGATGGTGCTTGGTCTCGGTCTTGTTTTGGATTCGAGGTCTGGCGCTCAGCGAGTACGATCATATTTCATTACGGTACGGTAAATGTCCAGAGGCTGCTCAATATAACTGCAAAACCAGTAATGGAATGAAACTGTGAATGTTATGAACTTGAAAAAAAACATTTGATTCATTTTGAAGTTGTTTTCTGTAAAGTAGCAGTGGAAGTGGGATTAAAGAAGAGGTTCTCAAACTGTGGGTGAGATGCACAAAAAAGGGGCGCAGAGTGTTTAAATGCAGTACAGTTTGTTTGGCTTATTTTAACTTTAAATGAGCTCAAATCATCTTGTGGTGTCAAGTGAACAGCTCCTTTTACCTTTAGTTCAGTAGAGATTGACAATTCCAGGACTGAAATTAACCAAATGATTCTAGTGAAGGTGTATGGAGTTTAAAAACACAGTGGAGCACTTCCTGTATTACCACACGACATCACAAGTGTGAATGAAACAAAACACAATTCCAGGTCTGTTGGTGATGAGGAAAAAAACATTAGAACAAAGATCAGAAAATTGGGTAACATGGACCGTGTCATTTGAATGTTTTTGCTGTGAATTTTAAATAAAAGCTCAACAAACTGTTCACCAAATGTTTGTTATTCATCACAGTGGTATAATTACATGTCTGTCACCATTATAAATGTATCATTCTGAAGGCAACTTTATGCACTCATAAATGGACAGTGATTTAGGTTTTATGAGCATCTAATTGTACCTAAAGGTTTGTTTCTTACGGCCACTAAAATGAGCAGCTCTCTGGCTTTTTTTTTTTTTTTTTTTTTTTGTGAAGGTAGCTCACCTGAGGAAAAAGGTTGGAGACCCCAGTTCAGGCCTTTATAAGTGAGGCTTTTATTGTGAAAAAGTTGCAGTAAATGTATGGTAGTAGTA